TATTTGTCACCACATCAAACCGCAGCGACCTTGCAAGAGAAGCTGTTGCTTCCTTTCCGCCTTCAAACTCTCACCCGAGTTGCTCTTTCGGTCAATTCCAACTTGGAACCCTTCAAAGATAGGGATTCTGGGAAACGTAGTCCCAGCCTAGCCAAGTTGACACAGCTGAGTACGGACCAGTTGGCTTACTAAACCCTTCTGCTTTAACTAGCTGGTTGAATTCGGCTCTCGAAAACTGACCTGATAAGAGACTTCGGACAGTTCCTCAGTGGGTGCTCGTCAACATTTTTGCCAACTCGAGGCCTTTCGTTTGGACAATTTCTCACCTTAAGAATCTGCACCGGAAGCAGCCTGAAACTCACTTTCCCAGCTTCCCTTGCAGTTAGACTGTAAGCATGTAACCTAGGCTCAACCAATCAGATACACCCAAATGGTACCCAGACTCAACCAATTAAATACATCCAGATGGTACTTAGATTCAATCAGATTCACCCACGTGAAACCTAAGCTTAGCCAATTCAGATACACCTACAGGTGAAAGCAATGAAAGTGGATTCTGATGCATGGAATTCAATCTAGCAGGAGGCGGAAGGAACATAACCAGTGTCACTAGTGAGAGTTGCAGTGTCTGGGCCCAGCGACAGTGACGTGAAGGTCCTGCGATGTAATTTATATATTGTTCATGGCTGTCTCTCCAGCCCTCCCTTCCAAAGATGGGCAAGTCACTTAACATCCTTTAATAAATTCCTTTCCTGCTCAAACTACCTAGAGTGCACTCTGTTTGCAACCAAAAACCTGACTCACCTCTAAATTCACGTAACCATCAAGTCTCAGTTTCCCAACCTAGACAAAGAGCAAAACAATACCCACCCCATGGGCAGTGGAGTCAGGGAGAGGCATTTTGTAAACTTCCACGGTGCCACAAACACTGGGGCAGCGTCTTCTGAGGGACCACTGAACTGAGTTGTAAGTCAGGCAGACTGATTTGAATCCTGGCGCTGGCACTGACTGACCTGTTGTGTGACCTTGGGCAGGTCAATTTCCTCATCTGGAGAATGGGACTATGATTAGTGCCTGCCTCGTGGAGTTATCATGAAGACCAAAAGATTCCAGCACAGAGCAATCCCCCAGCACACAGCTCAGCATGTGGGACATACCCACACCGGTGATGCTGGAAGGAATATGAGTGTCCTTTGTCTTGCTGGATTAAAGAAAATGAGCAATAATATAGGTGTTCCTGATGTACCCTGATGTGAAGGGAGCCTGTGAATGCTGAAGTTTAGAAAACATTTATATGTTCGAAACACAACCCTGACTACACTTAAATCGTACACTTAAAAATGGTTAAAAGGGCGAATTTTGTTACATATATTTTGCCACAATTTTTAATAAAAATTAATAATGTAATATACCAAAACTCATTGAATTATATACTTTAAATAGACAGACTTATGGTATATGAATTCTCTCTCTAAAGCTGTTAAAAAAAACCCACCACCCTGGCTTCCCATCTCCTTCGGATCATAATTCAAGCCCCGACTTCTCTTCCCTCTCTGCTCTCATGAACCCCACCTCCATGCTGAATCCCTCATTCTGGCCTCACTCGCCTTCCTCCTCTTCCTGGAAGATGCCAGCCCCACCTCAAGCCTTTTATATTTGCTTTTCCTTCTACCTGGAATGTTCTTCCAACCAGGTTAGAGGCTCTGAGCTCTGGCTGCCCATAGGAATCACCTGAGGAGCTTTACAAAGCCCCACCTCAGATAGTCAGATGTCATTACTTGGGGAAGGAGGGTGGTGTCTGCTTTGCTGTTTTAAATCTGTCCAGGTGAGGACTTCCCTGGTGGTCCAGTGGTTAAGAATCCGCCTCCCCATGCAGGGGATGTGAGTTCGTATCCCTGGTCGAGGAACTAAGATCCCACATGCCGCGGGGCAACTAAGCCCGCACACCACAACTACTGAGCCCGCAAGCTCTGAAGCCCGTGCACTACAACTAGAGAAGCCCGCGCACCGTAAAGAGGAGCCCGCCTGCCGCAACTGAGACCCGACGCAGCCAAATAAATAAATATTTCAAAAATAAATAAATAAATCTTCCCAGGCACTGCTAACATTCAGCCAGTGTTACTAAATCGCTGCCCTAGACATCACGCTCAGTCCCCACCACGTTTACATTTCAGCTCAAAGGGCAGCTCCTTTGAGAGGCCATCCTCAATCAATACCATCTACCTCCCCTCTGTACCCTGCCTATTTATCTTCAGTGAGTCTATTCTACCTAGGATTCCATCATATGCATATCTGACTGCTTCCCAGTGAGAATGTCGGATGGATGAGGCCAGAGGCTGTGTCCCAGTGCTTGGCTCACATAGATGCTCAGGACAGAGCTATTGCCGCGATGAACCTCCACCAGTCCCCCTTGGTCCGGCTCCGGCTCTGGGGACTGCAGTTCTGCATGGAGGCCACCAGGCGGCGATAGTGCCCAACTGCGTTAAAAGTAGCCCCTGGACCCACCAGGCTGGCTGTGCCAGCCCCTCCCGCCCTGTGCCTGGCCATCGCTGAGAGGAAGCAGCAAGGACCACGGCAGAGAGCATGGTGTTCTCTTTCTCCTCATTCCTAGACTCAGAACCACGGGGCCCTGAAAACACCACCCAGACTAAAGTCAGAGGGAGAAGGCCCCGCTGCCCTGTCTGGAACCTCCAAGCCCTTCCCCTCTTACCTGGCCACGCACCAAGCCCCGGATGCAGTTGCTTGGGTTGACTCCCATGGGTCCCCTCACGTAGCTCATGACTCGCACCCGAGGGACCTGCAGGTCTGTTTGCCATGGCCAGTGTCTGCAGACACGCTGAATATCCATTGACTGGGGGCTGTGACACATGCTGTCTCCTTCCATACGACAGGTTCCCACACCCACAAAGAGGAACAAAGAAGTTGTTGTAAGGTCCTCTCTAAACCAGTCCCATTTTGTTCCTTTCACAGCACCAGTCAGTGATGGCCTGCGGGCCAAATCCAGTCCCTGCCCTGCTTTTGTCCAGCCTTGAGGAGGGTTGAGAAGTGTTTACATGTTTAAATGGTTGGAAAAAAAAAAATCAAAGTAATTTTGTGACACATGAAGATGAAATGACCAGGGTGTGTGCCTGGGCAGAGCCAAGGCCCCACGCTGCCCACGGAACTCCTAGGAGCTCAGACCCCCATCCTGGCCACGGAAAGGCAATTCACTACCCTGCCACTGTTTTTCCAAGACTGACCCAGGATTTCCCTTCCGTTCTACATCTCTGTCAGTAAATTCCCAGAACTGGACTTCCCAAGAAAGCACCACTAGGGGCCCTTATTTATAATGTGCCCGCCACCCATGGAGATGTTGTTCCTAACCTCTCGTGGCCCCGTCACCTGTGTCTGATTGGGCAAACGTGACACGGCCATCCTGACCAAATGGAAAACTGCATCGAGGACGACCAAGCCATTTTTCCAAAACAGTTTAATTAAAAAAAGGTGAAGAATCTGAAAAAATTGGGGGGTGGGGGAACCCAAAAGAGCATACCGTGTGAGTCCACTGGCTCAGTCACAAAGAAACACCATCATCAAAAAAGATATTTAAGTTTAATACAAATTTTATACAAAGAAAATGTGAAAAAATACTTCCATATGCTAAAAGCAATTATGCTTCACAAATAAGGCCAGCTAGGCTATTTTTTTTTTTTGACAACTGCAATTCACAAATGTTCTTTCTCTCCTGTTTTCTTCTAATACTCTCTTTTTATTTCTTCTCTAATATGGGTAACTAGCTGGAAACTGTACAGTTCGCATCCTCTTATCAACAATGAAGAGAAAGGAAACGAGACTAAAATGTACAACAGAAGGTACTGGAATGATATCGTACAATTAATTTTTCTCATATACATACATCACCTTTTTGCTTTGTTCAATGCTTCTTGTTTTACACAACATACAAAATGGTACTACAGCATACGTAGTGTAACAGACAGCACGGCGGTGTCCTGCGTCTTCTCACACTGCCTTTGTTTCATGCTGACATAAAAACATAAATAATACATACATGCTTCATCCCAGACTGAAATGTCCTCCGCGTGCGTCTTGCCTTTGACTTCTCACTTCCGCAAAGCACGGCCCGTCTCTTACCAAGTGGGTGTGAGTGTCTTTAAAGGAACCACAAAGCAAAGAAAAGATCTGTTTCAGAGCTTCTGACTTGAACGCTTTCTAAGTTCTTCCCTTCTGCAACTGAGCTGAGCAGGGCTTGTTTCTAGTTGATATTCTGTAAACAAGGACGTTGGTTTTTTTTTTCCCTTTTATAGGAGTAGAGTCATCATGGAAATCCCATAAAATAAACGAGCTCCTCCACATGTCCTTCTGGTCCAGAGAGCTTGTCTTTTAAAACATGATAACACAGCATTTGAAAAGGGCCAATGGTTGGATGTGACGCGCCCACGACAGCACCGAATCTGTGCCCAAAATTCCTGATCCCAATGTGCTGTGTACAGACATAAGAATGGAAACGGCTCACTTTCCCCTGGGCATCCCAGGATGAGGACCTGTGTGCCACGGTGATCCCCACGCCCTCTCCATACCACTGTGACAGGTGGGCTGGCTGATCATCCCTTCTCCAACATCCAAACATTCTTTTCGTTGTTGGGTGTGTTTCTTTTTTTTAATTGTTTTTCTCTCTTTTTTTTTTTTATAAGTTAAAGTCAATACAAATATAAAAAGGGGAAGGTACTCTAGGCTCAATGACATCCACAAATTGTACATTATTTACATCTAAAGCATAGGTTTCATGTGGGTGGAACACTCCTCTGTCAAGGCTAATGCTGGACGTGACGTAGTGTGGGCTGCCCTCCGTGCCAGGTGCAAAGACCAAGTCTGAATGGTTGGAATCCTCCAGTCTGAGGGTGGCGATTCTCCTGTCTCACATTTCTTTGCTGTTTCTGGTTTTCCTGGTGTCTGGGTTTTTTTTCCTCCATGGGATGGGTGACTTGTGCCCCGACGTGTCCCTAGTCCCAGAAGGTGTCCAGCCGAGACTCTTTCGGGATGAGGCTCTTCGAACTGGTGCTGGCGTTGTGCTCAGAGCGTGCCGATCCCCGTTTCTCATCGCTGCCGCTCCAGCAACTGGACTTACTGCTCCGGGAATGGTCTGGGTCGGGGGGAAGTCAACCGGAAAGCAGGTTTTTAGCGTTCCTGCCCACTTCCAGTGAATCAGAACCATCCCTCTGTGTGATCTGCACCTGCTTCCTGGTACCACCTTCCCCACCCAACTCCACACAACACACATGGTCAAAATCCTGCCACCATTTACCGCCCTGTATTTGCGGGTCTGTGGCGTACACGGGCAGAACTTATTTTTTAGGACTTAACAAGAGCTGATTGGAAAAACAGGAGGGAATCATGCTCAGAGAGAATAAAGGTGAGTGGGGACAGGTACTAAGTTATCGAGGAAGGCACTTCTCGTGTGGTACCTGGGACCAGGCACCCCTCCTACATGACCAGACACCAAGCACCCCATGCCCTTGTGTCCTACCTTGGCCACTAAAAAAGGCACTGAAATTTGGCATTCGATCTACTTACTTCTGTTAATGGAGTTTCTTTAATCAGTTTATAGGCAACTTGAAAAACAGACTTATAACCAAACCACCCGAAGCAGAGGAGTGAGGACCAGAATGTTTAAGCCCACCTGGGCTTAATAGTGAAGACCCACTGGCTCCCAGTAAGGACAAGCTTAAGGGTCACTGAAGGATGCAAGAACCAGAGTAAGACCTACGGGAGCTTCAAGGACACGTGCACCACAAGGAGCTACATCGTGGCTGAGTAAGATACGAGGACACTGAAGGAAGAGCCAAGTGAGGTGTCTGTCCCACTATGAGACGGCCCCAGCCTGCAGGCTCAGCGGGATGGCCGACTCTAAGAGACCCACCAGCACATCACTAAGACCCCATCATATCTTAGATTATTTACCCAGTTCAGACAGACTGGGACAAAACTTTCTTTTTTAACTTCTTGAGGTGGGGTGATAATATTTGATTGAGAGAAGTCGGCTGTCAAGCTCAGAGACAGAATTGGAGTGAGGGAGCAAGGGACCGTATCATCGCCTAGGGGGTGACCTTTCTGGTGATACGGCAGGCATGTGTGTGGTCCTGAGGTCTGTTTCTGCAAGATAAGTAGTGAAGAGAATGATCAAAGGATCTCCCAAGTAACATATTCATTCAGGAGAGAACTCTTCTTAGTCGCTTGCATCTGTGACCAGAAGGGGGCAGTACTGTATTGTGGTGGGCAAAGGCGGGGTGGGGGCGGAGGGGCGCCAGGGTGAAGCTGTCTTACGGATCCTGAACCCACCGCTTCTTAAGCGTTCTTCCCTACTCGTGACGCCTACACCGTTAGTTCTCTGGAAGATCAGTGATACAGCTGGTTATCACCACAAGGAGAAAACCCTACAACGCCATCAAGTCACACTGAGTCTCCCCAGCTCTGCTGAAGGTGGAGACCAGCTGGGCCACTTAGAAGAAGTGGGAGCAGGGCTGAGCTCAGCACAGAAGCTGCATCCCAGAGCGAAGCTGGCCACCTGAGTAACTGCAGAGCCTGACTCCTCCCACGGACCGGACATGGGGCGGTGGTTGATTCGACCCATCACTGCAGAGGACAATGGGTTGTAGTCTAGGACCCTTTCTGAAAAGAGCGAGGATGAGGCCCCTTCAAGAAGCCAGACCGGGGACTTCCCTGACAGTCCAGTGGTTAGGACTCCACGCTTTCATTGCTGAGGGTGTGGGTTTGATCCCTGGTCGGGGAGCTAAGATCCCACAAGCTGAGCGGCGTGGCCCAAAAAAAAACTCTTTTCCTACTGGGGTTTCCGATGGCCACCAGAGGCAAAGCTAAGAAGAAACAAGGAGAAGCAAGACCCATCACTCAGGAGAACAGGAGAAGACACGCCCACAAAGAAAAACACACAGACACACACAAAACGAGCCTTCCGCGTGCCGGGAAAAGTTCCCCGGCAGCTTCCGTGAGGCAGGGTCATACTTACACTTCTGGGCTGGGTAGCTGGGGTGCGGCTGGTGGTCTGTGCTGGTTGGGACAGAGGCAGGTTGCTTGTCACACCTGTTGCTAACTGAAGAGATAGCACAGGCAGCCTCAGAGTCTGGCAGAGGGCTCAAATCCGCACAACCCCAAGGCCTCGCTACTCTGCTCAGCAACAGGTTACTGGTCTTAGCGCTGGGTGGCTGCTTTGTTGATGTCCCCATTTTCCAACTTAACGCATTCACAGGAAACTAAGGCTTTTAAAAATGCGTATTAAACCATGAACAGGATCACGGGACACAGCACGGCATTACAGGTGGGAAATATGGCATACAATGACATCAAAGCAACTACGTAAAGCCATAAATTCACAGAATTTTGAAAGCAAAATTCTAGGAACCACTAGCTCTGCCAAGAGCTTAATTCAGCCAGGGCAAGGGGAGGCACCAGCACCACAATTTAGGTGGAAAGCTCCACCCAAGGAATCCAGATTTTTCAGGGCAAGTAATCACTAATCTACCGCCAAGGCTGATGACAGGGGAAGGGAGGGCGACGGAGGTGCATGTGGTGAAAAGGATTGAGGAAGAGGCTACAGATGAGATATCAGTGGGCCACTCCTCAGCCATGACGGAAGGACACCAACAAATAATATCTGAGATGGAAAGAGTCTAAAATGTGTGATAGGAAAAGTGTCTCAATAAAATAACTGTCATAGTGAAGAATTTGGGGGAAATCATTGAAGGTATGATAAAGGAAACATTAAAAAGAAAAAAAAAAAAAAAAAAAAAAACAAAAAC